TTTTCTTGCTGTTCTTTTTCTAATTATTGGAGATGTTGGTTTAAAGTGTTGATTTTGGCTCTTCTTTTTTTTTTTTTTGATGTGTGCATTTATTGCTATAAATTGGCTTCTGGTCATTGCTTTTGCTGTGTCCCAAAGATTTTGGTATGTTGTGTTTTCATTCTCATTTGATCAGGGAATTTTTGAATTTCAATTTTTATTTCTTCTCTTACCCAGTCTTTCTCAAGGAAGGTGTTGTTCAGTTTTCATGTGTTTACTCTCTTTCTGCTGATTTCCAATTTGATAGCATTATGATCTGAGAAGATGCTTTTCAGTATTTCAATATTTTTAAATTTATTAAGGCTTGCTTTATGGCCTAGCATGGTCTGTCATGGAGAATGTTCTATGTGCACTGGAAAAGAATGCATATTGTGCTGTTGTTGGGTGAAGTGTTCTGTAGATATCTATAAGGTCTGGTTGATGTACTGTATTGTTTAGCTCTTCTGCATCTTTGTTGAGTTTCTTTCCAGTTGTTCAAAGTTTCCCACTATGACTGTGGAGTCATCCATTTGACTTTTCAACAATTTTGAAGTCTGATTTATATATTTTGTGGTTCTTTTATTGGGTCCATAGATATTTATTATGGTTATATCTTCTTGTTCAATTGTTCCTTTAATCATTATATAATGTCCTTCCTTGTCTCATATGGTAGTTTTTGTCTTAAAGTCACTTTGATCAGAAATTAATATTTCCACTCCTGCTGTCTCACATTTGCCATTTGCTTGATATATCTTTTTCCAACCTTTGATTTTTAGTCTATTTCTGTCTTTGTCTCTAAGGTGTGTCTCTTGTAGACAGCATATCAATGGGTTTTGTTTTCTTATCCAATCTGTAACTCTCTGTCTCCTGAGTGGTGCATTTAATCCATTAACATTCAGTGTAATTATTGACAAGTATGGGGCAATCTACTTCTGTAGTGATACTGCCTTGGAAACCCAAGGAGGGGTCACTATGGGTCAAGTCTGACTTGACGGCACATAACAACAACAACAACATGAATCAGTTGCTGTCATTTTGTTATGTGTTTTTCATGGTGTCCCTGGTTTCTTTGTTCCATATTATTTTTTTGTGCTGAGCTCATTATGTTTATGAATTGTGTTATCATTTTCTTTGTTGCTGCTGTTTTAGAATTTGCTGAATATTTGTGCTTGTTCTCTTTTTTATTGTGATGTGAAGGTTTGTATTTTTTCTTTGAGGTTACCCTGTGATTTATAATTTTATCCTCAGATTCAAACAATCCGTTCTATCTTGCAACTCTCTTGACTTCCTCACCATTTAGAAGTTCTGTAACTACATAGTATTTTCCCTCTTTTTGTTTGTAGTTGTCCTCACTTGCCAATTAATGTCTCTGGTTCCCTGTTTACAATAATGTAAGCTCATTTTACTTTGGATATGTCCATAGCTGTGGTTTCTGGGTTATGTCATCCTGTGTATTAATGGTCGGTTGTTATTTGCTAATTTTTGGTTCCCTGTTCAAAGGACTCCATTTAGCATCTCTTATAAGGTTGGTCTGGTTTTTTACAAATTCCTTTAGTTTCCACTTATCTGGAAATCTCCTAATTTCACCATCATATTTGAGGGACA